ATAAATAAGTTAATAACATTATTTATCTGAGGAGCAGACTGCTTTGAATTGAACTCCATGACAGAACTTTCATCTTGATCAAGCATGAAGGCAACAGTGGAAAGGAAAAACTCCCTCATGAGGAAGAATTCATTCATTCAACCTTTATTTAGACAGATAAGTCGCATTAAGCCTAGAAGACTCATTTACAAGTGAGTTCTGTTTAGACAGACAAAAAGTAATGAAACTGGACACATGTAGGAATTGGAGGCAAAAAAAATCCTATCAGACTCTTTCTTCTCGGCTGAGAAGAAAAATTCTAATATTAAAAAACACCTCGCACAAACAAGCACATAGTGACGTAGACATTGCGCAGAGGGGGGAGACGACGAGAGCGGTGAGCAATGTCCATGAGTTCCAATGAGTTCTGATAAGGATGGAATTATCAGCCAGTTTCCTCCAGTGAGATACATAAATATTCTCAAGGGATGTCAGGGAATGGCCAAGGACAACACCTATGTAAATCCAAGAGTCCTGAAATGATGACACAATGTTTATTCAGATGGTTTCCTTTTGTTGATCAGTTGGAAATTCCTCGGGGGTGGGGGACGTCCGATTACTTGTTCTCCAGGCGAATTCAGATAATGCGGCCTTCAAGGCCAGCCAGGGAAGCCAAATTCAGATAAACTCACAGTTGTTTTGGGGATAGGCATAAGTTAATGACATCTACCTTGAGTCTGTGTTCATCCAAACTGTTCCGAAATGTCCAAATTATATGGCCACACAGATGGAACGTGCCTAAGTGAAATCCCAGAGATCTGATCCATTCTGCCCAAAGCATTTGAGTCTGGGCACTTGAGACACTAATCAAGCCATCATAAGGCAAGCAGTGTGATATGGTCCTAACTTTTTGCCGACGACTTCCTTGATTGTAGATAAAACCAGCAACCAGCCAAATCCAAAAAGCAGGAACCAGTTATCGTAAATCCAATTAAATATGTGTCCTTAAAATCCACAAATGGCAGCAGAGATAGACACATCATCAAGTCTTCAAGTCGATGTGATATTCAGCTGCATGCGTGCCAACAGGGCGAATCAGCTCACCTAAAGCCTGTCTTCTCTTCGAAGAACTGTTATCAATTGTGTTGAGGGACCAACTGATCAAATCAAGTCCATAATTTTGGTTCGGAAGATATACATAGAGAGGCTTAGAAGCAGTTACACAGACAGACAGAGCAGCAAAGCAAAACAGAGAGGGAGAGGAGGGAAAATGCGTCTGACCTCGGCAAGTGAAGTGAAGAAACCTTTAGTGAAGTGGTATCAAACTCACTTACAAAAAGGGGCCAAAATTAAAACCATTTTCAGAATCAGAATCAGAATAAGTTTTATTATCAATGCACCGAGATACAACGAGAACATGTATGTACAATCATCCGAAAGATGGGTGCA